AGTAATTTATAAATGTTTTAAATCAGGTTGGGTCTGGATAAGTCCACTAATCCATGTACCTGTTTCGATTCCAACAGCCTCCACTCTGGGTTCCTGAGCAAAACCCTTAACCACACTGCTCCACGGGCGCCGCACAATGGCAGCCCACTGCTCCCCAAGGGGATAGGCTAAATGCAGAGGGGAATTTCTCCAATGTGAGATCAATAAAGTTCAATTATTATCATTTTCCATTCTTCTAAAAAGGTGTGGTGTAAATATTTCTCCTTTTGCACACAGCACTTGATCAAACACTATGGTGTAATTTCCCTGCCAAGCCACTAGTAGGCAATGTGGTCTTTTCAACTCAAAGTGTGCAGGTGCTATTCCATGCCACAATTTATAGGCAATGAGACCAGAGCTCCTCTATTAGGATGCTGTGTCCAAACATCCGACCTGTAAAAGGCACGGATGGTTACGACATTTAAAATTAGTGTCCGAACATCTAATGGAGGAAAAGCAGGCTGTGTCCGAACCTCTGCACTAATCCTTATATCCCTCCATCACTATGTAGACCGGAGACTCTATAGTGGAGTCTATAGTGAACTGACCGTTATGACAGATGATCACTACTTTTCGCTTCCTGTGGGTCACAAAACTCCGCCTCCCTGCACGGTGCCTACGCCACCTTTATTTGTCGACACTGTCGCTACATGACAGCGGGCGGCTGTGACAACAAATCCCATAATGCTTTGCAAGGAGAGTACTCACGAAACATCCAGCATATATCTGCTTGTCTAGTGACCATGGATGATCACTACTTTCAAGGTGCATTGTGGGAAATTTTAAGTCCACTACTTTTTCATCCACCAGATGTTCAGAACATCATTTAAAATGGTGTAACCACTATATAGGGGCCCTATATAGTGGTTAGGGCGGACATTAGGACACAGCCCTGGTGTACGAAATTTAAGCACAATGTTTAAGCATTTTTGACACTTAAAAGAAAAGTTCAGTCAGAATTCAAACTTCTGAAAGTTCTTTAAATCTGAAATGATTCCATCCTGTTCAATAAATGATCAGTGTTTTTAATTCAGAGTAATTTTCATGTGAATGTGCTTTACTGGAGGCATCCATGTTTGTCAAAGAACACTACTGCCACCTACTGGTTAGTGACGTCACGGTGCGGTATCGGCTGTTGATCAAGTCCCAGTGCTGTATCTGGTGTTTGTCACAACGCGCTATTATCCAAGTCATCTTGAAAACATTCTTCTTCCAAATGTTGGCTACATATTACGGGTTTTTTCTCTGGCCAGAAGTTCGATGGCAAATCCTCCCTCTTCAAGTTGGCGATCCAACGACCAACCCGTCCGTGGAGGATCAGGAATCAGTGTATTTAAATTTCAATGGTGAAGTCCTCTGGAAATCTTCAATAATTGTTGTTGATTGCAGATGTGTCTAGTAGTTCCCATTGATTTAGCTTGTAAAGCGGGGAGAATGGCGCTAGGCTTACCGCACCGTGAAGTCACTGCTGGAAGATGGCAGGAGGGAGGGGCTACTATATTTGGGCGAAAATGGCCGCTCCTAGACTGGTGATCGCAACGAAAATTATTATTTTTATTTTTTTACTGATTAACCCTATGTAAATTCATTAAATCACAGCGAACATTTTAGTTTTAGGTATAAATAATGATCCATTGATTATTCCTTGCTGACCGGACTTTTCCTTAAAACACCTTTAGTATGAACGCAGCATCAGACTTCAAGATTTCCAGGTCAGAATTTAATCTTTAGAATTTGTACAAACTGGATCTTGGAAACTCGTAGCTTAGTAAACCAGCCCCAGGCGCCAGCGGCCAAAATCATCTTCGCCTGCAGTGGTCTAGCCTCCATCAATGCCCCAGGCCCTTGAACTGGCGGGCCAATCACAACGCAGAGATGTGTTTTGAATTTCTGAATGCAAAGTGGGCGGGGTTTTGACGGCATGGCGACAAATCTGTGCCACGCTGGAGAAAGCACAACAAGTAAGATGGCAACAACTGTTGAACAGTTCTGGTTTGACTCAGTTTTGAAATTCATTTTTAAGAAAGACGTATTTACAGTCCCCCACCAGCTTTCTCATTGGTCAGAGCGTTGGCCAATAGGCACAGACATGGTTTGAAAGACCATAAACAATCTTCCGATGTCTCATTCATCGTGGCCAGACTAAATTACACATTTAATCTCACATTTAATCTGGTTTATCAGGCTAGGAAACTTGTAAATATGAAATATGATGACCAATACTGAGCAAAAATCCTCAAAGCTAACAGCAGTGAATAAAGTCAAAAAAACGAAAGCAACTAAATCAATATAAAAACATTATCCTTCCTGTTATTCAAAGTAACAAAAAACACACAGACAATAAATGCAGAGTAATTGTTTCTGGTTTAAAAGTCTGCTAATGAATATATAATCAAAATGAATGACATGAAACTGATTTATAATTTTCTAATAATTACATACAACTTCAACCAAAACCGAACATGTCAACTTTTATTTACTTCATCTGTTTAAAGCGAAAACATGGTAAATATTGTCCTATTTTAGAACACTTAAAGATATAGATATAAAAGATATAAATAATAAAAAATTAACAGTTGACCTTAGAATTGTGTTTAAGTGTTCTTTGTACCCTAAATTCTATGAAAAACCAGAATTATCATAAATCCAGGAACACTTTTTGCCTCCAGAAGTATCAACAGTTTTAGAATTAAGGGAAGAAAAAAACCCAATCTGGTTTGAATAGACCGACGTAGCAGAGTCGACAGCCAGACCACCAAGTTAATTGACAGCTGAATAATTCTAGTCATTTGCATCTTTTTTTTTTTTTTACGTTTTATTTGTTCCCTTTCAGAACAAAACATCTATTTGTGTTTGGTTATTATTCTAAATCAATTATTATAATAGCCTTCCTCGTTTATTATAGGTCACAATAATTAGCTTTAGCTTTTTGGGATTTCTAACAGAACATCATTAATAGCACCATAACATCCACACTTTCATTCTACATATTTCTTCATTTCAAACTGGAAAATGTTTTGTTTTTTTTAAACTAAGATGCTAAAAACACGTAAAAGAAAGAGCATAAAAATGCACAAAAAAGCTTTGCACAAAAAAAATGAAAATATCAGTGAACATCAATTATAAAATGTCTAGTTTGCTTCTTCCTGAAGGAGAGGGGTTAGGAGTTCATGTGTTGGTTTCATACGGAGGTCGGATTAATGAAAGGTTTGATCTCATCTGAACTGAATTCCCCGCTTCATCGTTCAGGTGATGTAAAACCCAGAGTGTCTCAGTCCTCCGTCTTGCTAGAACCTCCACACCATCCAGGCCTCCTCAGGGATCTGATCACTATCTTTTTCTTGCTGTGCCCCCCGCCATGTGTCGGAGACTTCAGGCTGCAGACCGCTTTCTCTCCACCTTCTTCCTCTATTTCTTCTGCTTTGTCTTGCTCTTCTTTGCTTTTTTTACGATTGCTTTCCTCCTTTTCCAGCCGTTTGCCTCCTGCTTCCTGTGGCCCCTCCCTCCCAGCTTCAGCCTCCAGGGCTTCCTGGCTTTCCCCCTCCACCATGCACTTCATGCTCATTGCAGGTGGGCTTGTGTCGGGGGTCATTGTTGTTACCATGTTTGATATGAGTGGAGGCATCGGTGCTTTCTTTTTCTTAGAGGAACGCCTCTGTGGTTGGGGGCTGTTCTTGAGCTCCAGATGTTTCTGTATAGCATTGCTGAGCTCATCGGGGTCCACCGAGGCTCCATGAATGTCCCATGTCAGGCCATCCTCGTCCCACAGCACCTGCTTCATGCTGCCCCTCCTACCAAGCTCATCAGACTCCTCAGACTGCGCCTTCAGGCAGGATCTCTTCCTCTCCAGATGCCGAGCTGCAGCCGAGGGAACGTCCCACTCTGGACTCTCTTCTTGCTTCTCCTCCTCCTCGCCGCTGCTCACTGGAAACATGCTTGAAGACGCTGAGACCAGGTTGGAGTGGGATCCCACCGACGCCTTCAGGTTTAGTCTGGATCCCGGTGGTGAGCCCAGCAGGGAGTGTGAGCCGCTGTTGGAGTTAGACATGGTCTTCAGGAAGTCACAGTAGGAGCCCAGAGGGGACCCAGTCTGCACCGCAGCATCCTTCGTCTCCAGCTGTGAGGTCATCGTTCCTTCCTCCCTCAACAACTCTGACTTCGGGATATTCGTGCTTTCATTCAAGTGCATCAAAGGACACCTGGCGTCCCCTAACGCTGAGTCACTTAATGAGGAAACCAGCGGGGATCTCCAACCTTTCTCCATCCGCCAGCTTTGCTCCAACTTTAACGGCAGCAGATGATGGCGACCAGAGAGTTTGGGATTGAACTTTGGCTCGCAGACAGTCTGCAGTCTCCTTTCCTCTTCTTTACCCTCCGACATTTGGATGTCTCTGGGGCTGGACTGCTCCTTACTCGCAGCGTTAACCAGGTCCTCTGGAACCGCAGTGAGTCCTGGGTCTGCTAAGCTTGCATATGATTGAGCTGGGGAAGGAAAGTGAAATGAGAGTTTCTCATGGGAGCTCCTATCGTTTGGATATGGCGGCCAATGGTGAGGGGAGCATTCAGGTAGCTGATGCATGCTTAGAGTTAGTGGTGAGGAAGTTGAACTGTGTTGAGGGGGGAAAGGAGATGTGTGGAACGGGGAGATCAGGGGTGAGGGTGTGGTTGGAGGAGAGGCCAGTTTGGACACTGGAGAATCTGGAGTGAAGCAGCCGGAACGTGAAAGCCCTTCCTTCATCACCACCGTGTCCGGCGTGCTGCTGCGGCTGTGCGTGCTGCTGCAGCCGCTCCAGCGGTGCGTGTTGGAAATCCAGCGCTCGCTGAGAGGAGGAGGGCTGTGCAGGTCCTCGTTCTGAGTTGTGACCGAGAACTGGTGGCTGTTGTGGCGCCATTTGTGATGGTGGAGCTGCTGCAGCGTCACTGCATCCTGGTCAGAGTGCGTGTTGGTGCTGGAGCTGCGCTTCAGGTCCAGCCGTGTCCAAGCTAGGTCTCGTTTGTGAAGCGGGCCTGTTGCCGTGACAACATCTATGGAGCTTTTAGAAAGAGAGAAAATGGGCGTCCGGTCGTCCTCGTCCTCCATGAGGCCAACTTGGCTGGAGGAGGACAGAGACTGGCCGACTGAGCAGCAGGTGGACTGGTAGCTCTCGGAAGCAGGGCGACCAGATCTCGCCATGACAACGGTACCGGCCCTGAAAGGACAGAAACATCTCATATTTTAAATATTTAATCGATTATTGAAATAATCTTCATCTAATTCAGTAAACAATAAATCGTTAACTGGAGTATAGAGACTGTGAAACATGCTTTTAGCTGACAGAGCGACTCACTTAGAGCAGGAATTAGACCAAAATTGTAAAAAAAATATATAAACATTTTGCATTTAGGATAAAAAAAATGAATTCAGAACTCTTCAAGTGGAAAAGTTTGAGTTTCACCTGGTTTAATTTCATAAAATCTTGTTTAATAATTCATTGGCTACCCGATTATTAAGCGAAAGAATAATTGACAGATGAATCGATTTTCAAAGTAATCGTTAGTTGTAGCCTTAATTTCAACGATCTCCTCTTAGAAGGGGAAATGCCCACTTTAGAATCAATAACTCAGTTGATGTCACTCAGATCAGGAAGTTTTTATCTGGTTTATTTCCTTCTTTCTTGTGCATCAGCTGATGCAGATGCTGCCTATGGTGCATTAGGAGTTGTTGACTGGTTGTGTCCTGGACTGCCCGTGCAAGACAATCATCAGCCTGATCAAAGCCTGCCTGCAGCCTGTTCAGTCATCATCTGCCTTATTAAGTCTGTCTTTACCCTGTTCAGCCAGTCACCAGCCTGTCCAGCCAGTCACCAGTCAGTTCTACCGTCCTCCAGTCTAATCAAAGCCAGTCAGCGAACAATCATCAGCCTGATCAAAGCCTGCCTCCAGCCTGTTCAGCCAGTCACCAGCCTGTCCAGCCAGTCACCAGTCAGTTCTACCGTCCTCCAGTCTAATCAAAGCCAGTCAGCAAACAATCATCAGCCTGATCAAAGCCTGCCTCCAGCCTGTTCAGCCAGTCACCAGCCTGTTCAGCCAGTCACCAGCCTGTCCAGCCAGTCACCAGTCAGTTCTACCGTCCTCCAGTCTAATCAAAGCCAGTCAGCAAACAATCATCAGCCTGATCAAAGCCTGCCTCCAGCCTGTTCAACCAGTTTACAGCCTGTTCAGCCAGTCCCCAGCCTGTCCAGCCAGTCACCAGTCAGTTCTACCGTCCTCCAGTCTAATCAAAGCCAGTCAGCAAACAATCATCAGCCTGATCAAAAACTGCCTCCAGCCTGTTCAACCAGTCACCAGTCTGTCCAGTCATCATTCCCATCCCTTTCTGACTTCAGCCTCATAGCAGCTGGTTCTGCCTTCACCTGCTTTATCAAGTCAGCACCATCTCTGGCTGGTTATTGGGTTCTCATTGGTCTGATCTATAAATTCTAAAATTATCCAAATTTGCAAAGAAAAGATGTTTGATTGAACTTTTTTTTTTAACTACATGTAGTGTATAAATTTCAGGACAAACATGTTCCTCACACTAGTTAAATTATGAGGATTTCATACTGGTTCCCTGGTTATACTACTGCAGCAGTGTGTCGCAGTGAGCTTGACGCAGACATTTTTGATTTATGCTAAGTTTGAAGCATGGTCTGCGCCACGCCAAAACGCAAGAGGGCCAATCAGGAACTAGCTGTGGAATTAGATACGGCCGAGGCGGTGAAGAAGTGACGGCAAGTTTGTCAGACGATGGAGGGACATGAGGGCCAAAAAGAGCGGAGATCCTGGTGGAAAAAGGGTCCCAGCGTTCTGAAGCACCTCGCTCTTTTAGCCGATCCAACTTCACGAGTTGTTTTCCGCAATTGCAGTCATACAAACAAAACAAGCCGGCAAGCGGATGTAGAATTGACCAATCGGAGGCCTCCTGTCTGTAGTCACCTACAATTTGGGAGAGGTGCAGCAGTGTCTGCGGAGGGGGCGGGGACATCTTTGCGTCCACTGCGACACCTACGCAGACGAACTAGTTTCGAAGATTTGAAGACGTTTCGCCACCTCTCCAGGAAGCTTTCACAATTCAAATGTCTGGATCAGCAGTGAGTTTGAGTCCATATATAGACAAAGCCTTGTATCGCTTGGAAACATGGAAATGGTGACCGATGAATGGGTCGTTTACCATCGGTTACCATTTGCATGTTTCCAAGCAATACAAGGCTTTGTCTATATAAGACTCAAACTCACTGCTGATCCAGACATTTAAATTGAGAAAGCTTCCTGGAGAGGAAGCGAAACGTCTTCAAATCTTGGAAACCAAGTCCAGTAAATATTTTTTGAACTTTTACGGAATGACTATGACCTGGATGACTGAGAATCTTCATCAGCAACTAGTTTGGAAGTATAAACCAGCCTTTAGCCATCTGGGTTAATTCCTCGACAGCTAACCTTTGCCATGCACATTAGCTTGTTGCTAACTGTCACCCAGTTCAAAGCTCTATAAAGCCAATAGAAGAGTCAGGATAGAGACTTAATTCCCTGCAAAGAGCGGCGTTTGTCACGTCGTCAGCAGGAACATTTAAAAGCTGAGCCACGTCTTTCCCTCCAAAGTGATTTTAAAAGCGATGCTGGGATGACACATTTCTCAGGGATATAAATAAGAACGTTTAAACACACACACCCTCAAAATCCAGATTAGCTAAACGAGATTACAAAGGCCAGATTATTTGATTATTAAGCCCAAATCAAGATGATTACAGACAGATTTAACAGTACAGAGGAGAAAGAAGATGAACTGTTAGGTGAAAGAAAAGCAAAGACCAAGAAGCCTTTAGGACAATAAAGTTCCTCCTTTTTTTATTTCTCTTTGCTCTACAGGCAGGATTATCATCACCCTTTGAAAAGCAGGTTTTACAAGCAGCAAGAAGACGATACTAAGAAACTAACCACATTTGATCTGCCCTGTAATATCATACGCTGTAAACACTTCTCCAAAGTGACTTTCCATTCACAAGCATCTACAGCATCATGTCTGATAATCAAGGTTAACTTCTTACCTGAAGGTTTACAACTAGTGTCCCGTTTTGCCCTGTGCCATGCCACGAAGCAGGTAGCTCTAATTAGAGCTTCTCCTTCTTCCCCTCATGACTTCCTCTCTTCCTCAGGTCCTTAATGGCTTCCCTCTGTCGACCCCGGCAACATAAAGAAAGTCTTACAGCCTGGTTTTCCTCACTTCTCCCTCCTGAAGCTTGGTCCTCTCTCTCTACCTCTGCTGGGTCACATGCGCTCTCACTGAGGCTGCGACTGGCTGCATTTTCCTTCTCATAAACGCATTGTTTGGTTCATTTAGAGTGTGTGTGTGAGAGACAAAGACAGGACCATTACTCCATACCTTTAGCCCTGGGGATTAGCGGTCATCTTATTAGCTTCTGTCCAATCCGGTTTGTGTGTGGAAGGGAGCAGCGGGTGGCTGGTAAGCACTTTGATTCAAACTCAGGATAAGGTCATCTGCCACGGCTGTTATTTCACATGTTTCTTAATAAATGGGAAATGCAGCATGTGGTTGGAGAAGTTCATAAATGAATGATGAGCAGATCTCACTGATCATCTCTACGCAGGTCAGTGTCTGAAACTGTCTGGAATGTTGACCAGGTTATTCGTTATCCCACATCTGAACATAAAATAAACTGTAGTTGATACTGTTTCTCTGACTGTGACTAACTGGATGTGCTCTCTTCGTCCTCTGACATGGGAGCTGGCTCGGAGCTCGTCTGCCTGGCTGTGTGTTTCCTGGACGGGGCCGCCTGTGGAGCTGGTTGACAGTTGCCTTTTGTATCTATGCTTCTTTTTCTACGTCTGCTTCTGTCTCCTTGAACCCCAGTGGGCCTCAGCAGATGGCCGCTCACACTGAGCCTGGTTTTGCTGGAGGTTTCTTCCTGTTCAAAGGCAGTTTTTCCTCTCCACTGTCGCTACAAGCAGAAGAGTCAATGAGTCGATGCAATCAGCTGGTTTTCCTTAGATAGAAAACTTTGAATGAATTTGTATGTAAGCTAACAGGGATTGTCCTCTTAAGCTCCAAAGTGTCTCTGCACATGACTGCCTCTACTGGTTTTACTGGAGGTGTTTTCCTGTTAAAAGGAAGTCATTACTCTCCACTGTCACCACATACCAGTTCATAAGGAGGCCACTAATGACTGGCTGAGACTCTTTACATGCGTATATTTTCACCAGTTCGCATTTGTAGCTGAAATTGACTAAATTATCACCAGATTTGAATCCTTTTATTTGATTGGATTGAATGATTTGACTGATATTTTAATTAATTGGATCTAATTGTGCTACAAAGTCACAGAATAAAGCATTTGTTTCTGATTGGTAGTGATGTTATAAGATGAACAGAGGCTTCAAAGCATGTTTAGTGGAGGGGGCTTGCTTAATTTGGGGGAGGAGCCTAATTAAATGACGCCCGAAGACTCGCTACCCTGCCATACCACATGACCGCTTCAGGATGTTCAGCTCACCTGGAACTTTGGCAGGCATTTAAACAGCCTCAGTGAAGCTGTGGGGGTTTAAAGGAGAGTTGCTGTCCGTTAAATAGAGTTTGGATAGATTCTAAGTATAGATTGGTTGGAAAAACAAACAATCTAGTTGGTTAAAACTAGTTTGGTTAGATTAAACAATGCAATGATCAAAATCTGAACTGGTTACAGTTGAAACATTGGTGTTAAGTAGTATTGCTTTCTGCAGAGCTGTCAGTCATATCAGCTGTAAAACATGGACTTCCACTCCTGAGGTTGTTGGTTAGAAACCCAGCTTAGACTTTTGAAAGTTGCAATAAATTAAAACAAGTGTTTTGTCTAATGAGACTAATTTGTATTGATTTGCCGTTGTACAAATATAGAAAATATAGAAAAAATCATTGCCAAATGAGGTTGGTTGGTTTAGCCAACAGATTGGTTGAACACATCATGTCAGGGTTCTGCACTCTGTTTTATATGTATATTTTTTAGTTTCTTTATATGTGTAAATGTTTTCTAGCAGTGTTTTGTTCTTGAGTTACTCTCTGCCCCCCCATTGTGTTTGTTTCCTTTCCCCTTGGCTTCCTTCTAGATGCTTCCATCCACACCTGCAGCTCATTAGTCCGGTCTTTGTTCAGTCTCCTATATATACTCACCCTGTGCATTTCCTCAGTGCTGGTTCCTGGTCTTTTCCTGGCTCCTCATGTATGTTTTCCCTGATTTTCCTGTATTCCTTATTTTGGATTTCTGCCTCAGTTGCCTGTGAGTGCTTCATTAAATTAGTAAAACTCATCTCTGCCTACTAATCTCTGCATTTGGGTCCTCAGAGCCTCCAGTCAACCTGACACAAAACTTCCAACCAGATTAAGAGCAAACTCTGTGAATAAACTATTATGTTTGAATAAAATGACGAACACCTTCCATTTTGCTCATTGTTGCCCAATTTGCACAAACACTTTCACTCACTGCTTGAGCTTATTTCACTAAAATGGAAAAAAATACCAATGAGTGGCTTCAGCCAGAGGCGGAGGTCAGATCTGCTGGGACACAGACTGCTACAGGAGATCCTGTCTAGCGTCCCTCAACGTGTAGCGCAATAACTTGGAAATTTGGATTATGCATTTAGAAACTGCATAATAAAGCAAAACCTTCACTTTTACAATGAATACACACTCATTTATACATAGATTGATAGAATAATACCCAGATTTTACCACAATCTTTTTGAATCAGTCTATTACAAATACATACATAACACAACAAAAAGGTGTTTCTTCCCAGAGGCCGCTGTGGCTGTTTTTCCGGCCCTGCAGATAGCAGCATGGTGAGAAGCGGCCAGCTGCACCAACACCTCACTGCTCCTCAGGGTCGCTAACAGTTTAGGTAGAACGCTAAGCGGCTGCTTCTTGTTTGGACGGCAACTCTGAAGGAAACATCTATCATGACTGGTGAGAAACTATTACAGACGCTTCTCTAACAGGCCTGTGCCATTAAGGAAAAGCTGAGATGTGTGACTGTTCAGACCAGGCGCTGTTGCTCGCTGTGGGTCTGTCTGTGGGTCTGCTGTCCTCGGTGCTGCTGCTGATTCTGCTGATGTGCTGCCTGAGGATGAGGAAGAACAAGCAGGATGAATATCAGGAGCTGATCAGCATGGTGCCATCGGTACCTGCTCACTCTGCTCCAGTCATCCCTGTCTCTCAGAGTGTCTGCAGGTCAGTGACAGGAAATGGATTCATTAAAAGAGACTCAGACTAACAGTTTCATGAAAGCGGTTTTATTTCTGTGTTTGAAGGCCAGATGAAATCCCCTTTTCTTTACCTCCTCGCTTCATTCCACAAAATGCTGAGTTTCTGAGGGATGATGAGAGCGAGGAGAAGAAGTTGGAGACGCAGCGAGACGTTCTGGCTCACCGCGGCTCGCTGTCAGTAAGAAGTAGGTCACAGGTGATGAAGGTGCTGCACCAGTAGGATGCTTTAAATCAGTAGTTAGACCTCCATTATTACCTCTCTGAAGGACAAGATCAAATGAATTTAGTTTTTACTATTTACCATTAGGCTAAAATAGGCAGCTGCCTAGGGCCCCCGAGTTCCTGGGGGCCCCATAAAACTCTGTTTCCATGTATGGTTAATACAACTATTCTTTATTTGTGCACATTAATTATGTTTTTGATAAAAATCCTAAAATGCCATCAGAACGCTGATAATATTCAGTGTGTCTCAGCGGGTCGGCAACAGGAAAATTAACAAGCAAAACATCCATATTTTCTAAATAAAGACTAACTATACTTTCCTACAGCCTTTGCTAACATATATTTAAACATCCGGAATATCTAGATTAAAAGGTATTGTGGATAAAACTCAATCATCATTGTCATTACTTACCTGCTTGTATCAATAAACATTCTGCATAAAATTCATATTTAGAATCACTAATATCTACATATATTGATTATTTGATTTCTTGATTGAAGTTGAAGTTTTGAAATTTTTTATTACATTTTTTATTTATCTTTGATTTCACTGAGGATTCCTAGATGACTTGCAGAGACACATAATTTTCTCTTTACCCCATAAAACACAAAATCTTGTTCTGAAGAGCATGAATTCTGTACTTATCATCTTTGATGTTAATATATTGATGTGTATAATTAACCACAAAAAAAATGTAATGTTTTGAATATTCCACTTCAGAGTATTACTGCTGCCACCATCTGCATGAGAGGGAAAAAATGGTAGGGGTGGCCACAGGGGTGGCCAATGATTGGCTAAGGATGGCCATGGCCACCCCTGGCCCCCCATCTAGCTCCGCCCCTGCATGCAGCTATTATTTCATCCAAATGAAAAATGGAGAACAGATAAGCAGATCATGGCTTGTCTACAGTGAAAAGAAGGACTGGGTTATTTACTTTGGCCTTTTTGGAAACACAGGAAGGAGCAATCAGCTAAGTGAGCTTAGTGCTTGGAAAAAATCTTTCATTCCTTTAGAGACAGCATGAAAAGTCAGCTGAGTACAAAACATAGAGAGGAAAACAAGAAGAAAAGGGACAAGAAGAGAGGGACACAACCTAGAACAGATAATGGATGTCTATTCTATTAACATTTCTACATCTGGAGAATGGGGCTGTTTTATTAGACTTAGACAGATTTTATTTGTAATTTTTCTTTACACAAGTGTAAAACAAAAAGAAATTTGGTTTGGAACAGCTCTCTGGACAATGTTCAGAGAGCCCCCTGCCTGTCTTTGCCTAGGGCCCCACATTTCCTAAATCCGCCCCTGCTTACACTGATGGAATTTAACCCACAGCAGAGAACAAAAGGTTATAAAAATACTAAATGTAAATACTTTTTAGGATGTTAGACAAATATCAACCTGTGAATGGAGCCATGGTGAGTATTCTGAGGTAGGGAGGATGCTTCAAAAACCCATCATAAAGATCCCAGTTTTAATCAAAGGTCAATCAAATACATTTTAGTTATTTTTTTGTAGCTAAAAAAAAGCACAGAAATTTACAGATCCTGCACTAAGATGGCGGCAAGTGATTAACAGACAAATGCAAACAGAAGGATTCTGGAGCGGATCTGATCTCAGCAACAAGTTTTTATTTCAGTCCATCAACGTCTGAATGAACTAAAAACTGATGAGGTCGTGTGCTTCCCCCGTTTTCCTCAGGTTGGTACCCTGTGGGGTCGCTGCTAACGGGGCTTTACTCTGGGACCCCTCTGAACGAGGTGGTGCCCCCCCCTCCGGGTATGGCCACCCGCCTCTGCTTCTCTGTAGAGTATCAGCACAGCAGCGAGCAGCTGGTGGTCTCCTTGCTCCGCCTCAGCAACCTCCTTCCCCGTTTCCACAGCAACAAGACGCTGGTCGAGCTCCGGCTTCTGCCCGACGACCGGAGGCCCCGGCAGGCGAAGGCCAGGGCCACGGGGCCCGACCCAGAGTTTAACGACCGCCTGATATTCCAGGCAAGGCCATTTGATGTTCTGAGAGGTTTATTTATTTTGCAATGTTGTTAAAAAGCTCAAATCAGATGCACTATCCCATTTTTAACCTGAAGAGGGCGCCAACCAGGCAGTTTAGTCCTTTAAAGGAAAAGTCCATCAGCAGGAAGAATCAATGGATCATTATTTATACCTAAAACTAATACGATTGCAGTGAGTTAATGAATTTAGTGATAATCAGTAAAAAAATTAGAATAATATTTTTCATCACGATCTCTGAATCTGGGAGCGGCCATTTTTGCCCAAATATAGTAGCCCCTCCCTCCTGCCATCTTCCAGCAGTGACGTCACGGTGCGGTAAGCCTAGCGCCATTCTCCCCGCTTTCCAAGCTAAATCAATGGGAACTACTAGACACATCTGCAATCAACAACAATTATTGAAGATTTCCAGAGGACTTCACCATTGAAATTCACCAGAGCTATAGTGAAACTGACAATGCCCACGTGCATGGCAGCTGGATGCTGGAATACATCGGGTAAAAGTGGAAAAAAAGAGTTATTCCACCTTTCTGATTCCTGATCCTCCACGGACGGGTTGGTCGTTGGATCGCCAACTTGAAGAGGGAGGATTTGCCATCGAACTTCTGGCCAGAGAAAAAACCCGTAATATGTAGCCAACATTTGGAAGAAGAATGTTTTCAAGATGACTTGGATAATAGCGCGTTGTGACAAACACCAGATACAGCACTGGGACTTGATCAACAGCCGATACCGCACCGTGACAATGTCACTAACCAGTAGGTGGCAGTAGTGTTCTTTGACAAACATGGATGCCTCCAGTAAAGCACATTCACATGAAAATTACTCTGAATTAAAAACACTGATCATTTATTGAACAGGATGGAATCAGTTTATATTTAAAGAACTTTCAGAAGTTTGAATTCTGAATATGAGCGACTTTTCCTTTAATAGATGCACAGGGCGTGGACTGCAGTTGTGGTTGATGATTGAAAAGGTACAACTTAAGCATTTCCTGGTGGTGATGAAGCAGAACTTCTTTGTTTTTTTTTGTTTTTTTTATCTCATCCAAACTGTTTCTTCAGGTTCTATCGTGCATTAAGTGAATCCGCCTTATAAACCATCAACAGAACCTCTATCAATGAGTCATTGGACAAACTTTTCCTTACGCTCACATTTCTGTGTCAAAATTATCTTTAAATCGTCTCAAAGGTTTTTCATCAGCTCTGAACCAGAATGTCAACCTGTCTTTCAGAGACATAGACAGGTTTCGGGTATTACAGTCCATGGATCCGTTCGTCAGGTTCAATCTGCATATTCTCTGAGCCAAAACAAGACTTTGTTTTTGTTCCGCTCTATAAAACCTGGAACTAAACGCTATTTCTGACATTTTGAATTGAAAAATCTTCCTGGATGGAAGAGAAACATCTTCAAACTTGGAAACAAAGTCCAGAGGATTGATTTTTTTTACTTTTTTGGAAAAACTGCTTCACCTGACAGTGGCGTCGAATGGTTGACAGTTCAAGCCCCATCTGTGGCTTTCAGTGTCGTTGTGTCCTTGGGCAAGACACTTCCCCTGCATTTTCTACTCAGAGTGCCTGGTGGCGCCAGCGTACAGCAGCCTGGCTTCTGTCAGTGAGCCCCAGGGCAGCTGTGGCTACAATGTAGCTCACCACCATCAGTGTGATGCTACGTTCACACCGGACGCAGCAGAAGCAGCGAGTTTACATGCAAAGTCAATGGTTGACGTGCGTCAAGGCGCAGCAAAATGTCCCGCAGCGCGTTTTGAGCAGCTGAGGCAGCGCGTCCGGCGCGTTTAAGCATCTGACGCGCTGCAAACGCGCCGCAAACGCGCTGCTGCTGAAGATGGAAAAATGTAACTTTAGCTGCTGGACGCGCCGCGTCAACCATTTAGAGACGCTGATCTGGGAGCTGGCAGCGAGAGAGACACATCGCTGATGATACAGAGTGCTATTATCACTCCTCTGAAACAGTTTATTAACGCCTAAATTAACTTAAAATGTAGAAACCTGCCGGCAGAATATGTTGGCTTTTATTATTTAGATAAAAAACACCTACCAGCCGCCGCGGTGAACCGCGAGGAGGCGACCCGGCCAGAGGCTGCTGTTGAATGGGATTCCTAATGACAGCGCACCGCTGGTATGTGGGGGTCTGAGCGGCTCCGACAGAAATAATATTGGAAGGCAGGATGATAATCTGAATGAACTGTCTGCACTGATTACGTATTCAGGTGGATTTTCTCACTTAAAAACATATTAAAACTACTTTATTCCCACTGATCACAGCAAATACAGCTACAAGGCAGAGAAAGGATAGAGTAGCTCCGCCCAACGCGCGTCAGACACACTTTTGCACCGCGCAGCCAGAGCAGCAAAGCTGCTTCAGCCGCGCGTCAGAACTAACTGGTACAAGCAGCAAAAATGAAGCAGCAGACGCGATTTTGCTGCTTTTGCTGCGTCCGGTGTGAACGCAGCATGAGAGTGAATGACTGAATGTAGAGGAAACGCTTTGGTTAACTCATCTGAACAGAACAAAGCCCTATATAAGAACAGGAAATTTACAGTTTTAACAGAACCCTAAATACAGAACTCAGAAAAATGTAAATAACAGTGAATGATGACGGGATCTGTGAGTCAAAAATCTGTTTTCTTATATTCTGTAGCCTGAGGAAGGACATGTCTGTTTCGTGTGTGTGTGTGTGTGTGTGCCGTACAGGTTTCAGCAGTGTGTGTGTTCCAGTGCACCCTGAGTGTGTGTGTGCTGAGTGTGGAGAAAGACGGGAAACGACATGCTGTAGGGAGAGTGCTCCTTCCCCTCGATGGGGAGCTGAGTCAGGCCGGCAGAGTGCTGTGGAAGGACCTGGATCCCGAGGAGGAGACGCAGGTGAGCGCCGTCACACACACGCCCAGCCCTCGATGAGACGGTCCACATGCTCACAGGGGGGGGTCTGTCATCTGATGTCCATCAGGGTTCAGAGCTGGGAGACGTGCAGGTGTCCCTGAGCTACAGTTCGTCTCTGCAGCGCCTCTCAGTGGTGGCTCTAAGAGCTCGGGGCCTTCAGCTCCTCACAGATGCTGGTATGTCAGGTTTCATCTTCCAAAAGGCTTTTACCGCAAAACGTTACGCCGGGCTTACACTGCACGATTTTTTTCCCTTTTTGGGTCAATTCTAAAGCTGTGCAAGAACTTTTTGATCGGGCCACATAGTGTACAGTTCAGCCTCTCACGACTACCTCAAACATATTTGAAATGCAGTCGGACGTCATAAGGTGGTGGTGGGCAGATAGCTTATTGCACAAACAACGATTCTTCTTCTTCTTCTTCTTCCTCTCAGATATAAACCCAGCAGCATGGCGGGGGGGCAATGAGTGAAATGGAGTTCTTTCTGTCAAACTGTCAGACCGTAGTAGCCACGTTAGCTCAGCCATGTCTTTGTCCAAATACGTCGTCTCCTTTTCTTTTTAGGGCTTTCAGCACTAAATTACCCAAATATTTAGGCAGCGTGTTTCACTCTAGTGAGCTTCATATTCCTCTTCTACTCGTTTGGCTTCCGGATAGACGAGTCCGAGTAGCACCATCTCACTGCGGAGCCGAGTCCCACCTGGTTTTTAGACGTACAGTGCGAGCAGGTAGATCGCATCAGAGCGTAGTGATGAGGAAACCGAAGAGGCTCGTCGTACAGTGGGAGCTGTAGCTGCGTGCAACGATTGAAAAAAATCAGTGTATGCCCGGCTTTAGCCACAAGCAGCTAACAGCAAGCCGTCTACCTCTGCAGGCGTGTGCGTCCAGGTGAGCTTGCAGATTCACACTCAGGCGGTAAAGACGAAGCGTAGCTGTCTGGTGAGAGCAGAACAGGATCCCAGCTTCAACTACAGGATGACCTTTAAACTGCGACCGCAGTGCTTGGACGATGCCTGCCTAAGATTTGAGCTGCAGCAGCCGAACGACAGCCGCAAAGGTGAAACGCGCTCTAAACATAGAAAAAAACAAACACTGAAAACATATATTTCTGGCATTTATGTATAAAAGGCCATTAGATAATCCACTGTCACAGCTATGAAGAAAGTTATGATTGTCCCTACTGGTAACAGGTAGTTCAACTATTAACCTGATCACCATCAGGGTGAGAGCCTCTGAAAAGCAGCAGTTTGGGCAGTTTGTTGTTTTCACACAACGGCAACAAGGAAAGATATCAGCAATCACCTTAGAGGATCAGCTGATTATGCCGATTTGATCATGAATGTTTCTACGTGTTCATCACAGGATCAACAGCAACAAAACGTCTAATGCTTCGATCCAACCAGCTTCAGTTTAGATCTTAAAGCAGCACAGACCAGATGAAGCTACTATGATGAGAAAAAGAGAGTGGAAGAATAGGTAGAATGAAGCAGAATGATGAAAAGGGGTCTCTATGTCCTCCAGCAGTCTAAGCCTATAGCAGCAGAACTTTAGAGATAGCTCAGAGGAAGGGTCAGAAACAGAGAATTGACTGAACCTTACATCATAAATGTTGAAATACCACCTTAAAGTTAAACCTTTGACAGAGATCATTCACTGCTGTTGATTTCAGAGCCTCCAGCCATCCTGGGAGTTCTGGTTTTGGGTCCCTTCATGTACGCCAGGGGTCTTCAGCTGCAGCACTGGATGGACATGATCAACAAGGCACAAGAGCCGGTGAAAATGTGGCACGGACTGAGCAGGCCGATCTGAATCCCAACAAGGCAAACGGAGGACAAAGAAAAGAAACTCTGCTGTGGTGGGAACATTTAGATTTCTCTGCTTTCATATATTTAGTTATGCTATTTATCCAGTGAAAAATGTTTTTACTCAGGTTGTTTGAAGACAAGGCATACTTATTCCCGCGACAAGCCGAATTGTTTCTCAAGGTTTGTTAAAGTGTGTGTGATTTTTTTTGACTCTGATACAACCTGCAGTTTTTTCATCGACATAAATAAGGAAGAAAAACTCTTGTCTAGTCAGAACATCCTGCTGGTGTGACGACTTAAATGTCTTGTTCTTAATTTACTTTGCAAAGTAAATAAAATGCCGACTGAGTAAAATCCACCGATCTCTGTTTATTTAACTAATTATAGTAGTGTATAGTTCAGTAATATATATATATATACACATTATATATACATTAATTCCTGGATGGGAAGAGAAACGTCTTCAAACTTGGAAACAAAGTCCAATGGATTGATTTTAAACTTTCTGGAATGACTCTGACCTCGATGACTGAGGATCTTCACCAACATGTTCCTATAAGCATAAGAATAACAACCAAACAGAGGAAGAATACTAATTCCAATAATACTAAATGTTGAAAATTGTAAATCATATACCAGTCTTATATTTACATTTTATCACAGCTGCACTTAAAGTGGAAATGTCTTTTTTTAAAGATCATTTTTTATATATATTTTTTTTTTATTAAAAAAAAAATAAAAATGGAATGTCTTGAGAGCTGTACTGAACGAAATTTCTATTTGTATACACTCTGTGAGTACAAATGACAATAAAGTGTAAGTCTAACCCTAATTTCATTACAAACTCCTGCATGTTTAGTTTTATGATATCTGTTTATGTATTTTTTAAATGTGTCTAAAAAAGGAGCAAAAGAGACTAAATTCTAAGAACCTTTTGTCTGGACTTGCTGCTGCTGTCCAGCAGATGGCGCTCCACCAGTCTGGCTCACTGAGCGCAGCCGCAGACGGAACCGTAGAGTAAGAACCCGGAAGTTATTCAGTAGCTGGAATGAGGCTGTAATCAGACCAACATGAAGATAAATGAAAACACTTTACTGGAGGGAAACAGAGTCTTACTGGTTCCATACAATGAAGAGCATGTTCCCAGGTCAGTGATGGATTTCCTGCTGCGGCTCACAGTCCGGCAGCTTCGCTTTGGTTCCCCGTAGAAGCGATACGTTCAACTGATAACAACCGACCTGCAATAAACTAAAATAACCTAATATTACTTCTAACGCGTTAATGAGGCATATTTATGCCTTATTATCTAGTATTATTATCATAGTATCTAAGACACATCATTGTCAAACTTGATGCTGCGTTGATTCTGTCTCGCAGAATACTGACACCTGCTGGACATTTGTAGACACTGCAGGCAGCTTATTGGACAGAATAAATGAAT